AATTCAACCGCAGTCATTATCACCGTCTCTTCTTGTAGCTGCTCCTTATTGAGTTTACAGCCTTAGCTACCATTTATTAGTATCCACTGAGTGCCATGTACTTCACACATGGCAACTCTGCAAGGAAGTCGTGATGCCTGTTTTGCCAGCGAAGATTACATGAGCTGGGGCTGGGATCCAACTCAGAACCCTTTGGTTCAAGCATGGAAACTTCTTTATGCTACTGTAGCCCACTCGCTGCCTTTGTTGCCTCAAATTTTCTCCTTGATTCCCTTCCTTTATATTTCTGGCAGAAGTAAATGAGTCGTTGGCCGGACAGATGAAAGGGATTTTGATGGACCACCAAACCACTTCACTTGAGGGTTTACAGGTTACAGAGTATAGGCCAATTATCTTTACAAGTGTTGTCTGGTACTTAATTACCCTCTGTAATTAAGTCATCCACAGCAGGCCCCTTTTGTCTTAGCCAAATTATACTTTAAATTCTGGAGGAGAAAGGTGCTCTAACATTTGGGCCAAAACATTAGGAAAACCCATCTTCACTGTATTTCCACTTTGGCCTGGTCTTTCTAGGCTGTAAGGCAGAACTGAATATTTTCTTTAAAACCTCTTGGAGATTTTGTTTTTTCTTATGCTCTGCCCTCCCTCCCCAGCTTTTTTTCCTTCATTTTCTAGAAGTCTAACATGTTTGATTCCTGCTCTGTCTCTAGACATACACCTGGAGAGAATAATGTTTCCATCACAGAATTCCTTCTCAGGATTTCTTGGGAAATATATGTGTTTTTCCAGATCTCTAGAAAAATTACTTATGAGGTAAATGGGAAAAGTGTTATAATTCTCCTGTGAGAATTGTATGAGTCAATGCAAAGACAGTAGAAAGAATCCAGTGATGTCAAGTTGAAAGCAAGAACAGGAAAAGCTGACTTGGAGAGTTAAGGGTAGGATCCACCTTTTTCAGAGCCAGCACAGGATAGGAGCATGTGGGAGAGAATGGGTCATGAATTCTTCTCTCCGTTGCCATGTTAAAAATGTGTCTTTGTGGCCCAGTCTGCTACTACCATCGATGTATCATCCTTGCAAATAAAATAAGCTTATATGCATAGCATACTGCATACATATCCTATGCTTGGTATTACAAGAAGTAAGTTTTGGAAGGAAACTGAGTCTTTAAATTGGCAACTTCAACATGTGATTCTGTGTAGTATGGTTAATTTGCTTGTAGATCCGAATGTAGGTTATTGCAGTGGTCAAGAAAGTCTCTTTCTAAAGGGCCAGATTTTAGGTTTTGCAAGCCATACGGATTCTGTTATAACTATCAATTCTACCATTTCAGTGTGAAAGCAGCCATAGACTATACGTAAAATGAACAAGTATGCTGTTCCAATAAAACTTTTATTTACAAAGCCAGACTGTGTGCTGGATTTTGCTTGCTACTGGCATAACATCCAATATGTTCACTGGCATTTTCCAGGATCTTAGTATTTGCTATAGGCTACAATGTATTGTAACTACTACTAAGTGTGATGTTTCCTATTTAACAATGTTTTTGGATATCCATAATAATAAGTAAACAATGGAAGTATTTTAAGAACAGTATATTCTGGAGAAATCCCTGGAAATTCCCATTTCTCATGGTCATTCATATTTTTTTTTAATGTATAATTTGGGAATAGAATAACCTCAATTTTGTTGTTAGGATTATGTCAGACAATGCAAGTAATGTGGTTAGCACAGTTTTAGAACTAAAAGCTCACTAAATGATAGCTGCTATAATTAGTAACTCTCAAAGGTGAAGAGTATTTATCCCATTTCATGGAAAAGGAAACTGAAACTGAGTTTAAATGAGTTGTGGAGGTCACATTTAATAGACTGGAAAACTGAGTTGGGCTGCTTAGGTCCATGTTCCTGCCACCATATCCTGCTTTCTGAAGTAGTTCTGGTTAATGGCAATTCCACAGCAAGATATACCATAGTTTATTTGGTTTATGTGCTGGGTGAACAGACAGGGAGAATATGGAATGGTTCTTGAAAGAGCAAGGACTTGCAATGTTTAGAAGCCACAGTTTCTAGAAGCAAAGGATATGGTTGTATCTAAAGAGCTGAGAAAACTTGTCTTGACTTTTTTTTTCTTCCTGTGTGGACTGCCAAGAGCTTGTTTGATTTTAAGTGCTTTTTATGCTTGCCTGTTACTCAGGTCTCATCATATTGCAACAGCTTTTAAGAAAACTATGCCTCTTCTTTTAAACTGGATTACAGAAAACTGTACTGTAATGTTAAATGCTCAAAATTAGAGTCAGAAAATTCGATTGGATTTTTCTTCCCCTTCACAGTCATCCTCCAGCCCCTTGCACGGGATGGTGCCTTTGACCCTTATGAGTCAGACTTTTACACAGTTTGATTAGCTGCCAAGGATTGAAACTCCATCGCCAGATAAGTTGGCTAAATTTTTGGGGAAAAAACTCAGCTCAATGAACGGTTTTTGAAAAGCTGCTAGAGTTTATTATATAGATATTTATTTTATAACACTGAGTTTTTATTACTTTTTTGTTTTGAGGCAGAGTCTCCCTCTGTTGTGCAGGCTAGAGTACAGTGGTGCTGATCTTGGCTCACTGCAACCTCCACCTTCCAAGTTCAAGTGATTCTCATGCCCCAGACTCCTGAGTAGTTGGGGTTACATGTGCCTGCCACCATGGCTGGTGAATTTTTTATTTTTAGTAGAGACAGGGTTTCAACATGTCAGCCAGGCTGGTCTTGAACTCTTGACTTTAGGTGATCTGCCCACCTCAGCCTCCCAAAGTGTTAGGATTACAGGCGTGAGCCACTGTGCCTGAACAATAGCACTGAATTTGATTAGTGCATATAGCTTTTTACGGAGATTGTTTTTATATTTGCAATCTCTCTTGGGGTTTTGAACACAGCAGTTTTTTGCTACCTTTTAGGCCTGCCGAACTTGCCTATCGATATGAAGGGTATTTTTGAGGAGATGGGTACCAAGTAGAACATTCGAAGTGTTAAGTGTCCAGCTCAACTGAAGGGTATTTGTGGGGAGATGTAGAACATTTGAAGCGTTAAGTATCCAGCTCAACATGTTATTTCCCATTTTACCAACCTGGTCTTTCTCGTAATACACCACAGTTTTGATTTCAGTCCATGGTTTAGTTGAGAGCCCAGTGAATTTTAAAACAAATGTTAAATTATATTTAACTTGGAGATTTAATTTTTATCCAGTTAAGTTTTGTGCACTAAGTATGTGCTAAGTATCATGAAATAGAGCTGAAAACTGAAGAATAGTATGTGATTTTTTACCTAGTTTTAAATTGGTTTTGACAAACCCTGTGCATGGCGGAGAATTAAGTGCTAGGTTGAGTCATATAGAATATAAATACCAGAGGAATTAGATCTGGGAAATATAAGAATCTTTAGAGAAGATGGACAGAGGCAGGAGAACTCAAACACTGTCTTAAAGGATGAGAAGATATTTTGTGCGGTGAAGATGATGGGGCTGGGATATTGGATGGCAAGTTAGAAGCACCTTCATAATGAGAAAAAAAAAAGTCTCTGATTTTTAAAGAGAATCAGAAATATATGTACCAGTGTTTATTTTTCGGCTTATCTAAACCTCTTCTTTCCCACCAATACAGTAACTCTCACTTAAAGACATGGTTGACCGTAGGCAGGACAGCTGAACACTGGCCTCCTCTTAAAATGCAGTTAGTTTTTGGCAGAGGGGAGAGCAGCTTTAGTGCAAATCTGCCAAATTTCCCTGGCCTCAGCATCTTGGAAAATACCAGTTTTTCAATAGTTTGTTCTGAAACTCAAAGGTTTGAGTGCTGCTCAGCTGAGGAGTTTGTTTTTAAGGATGCCCACTCTAGAAATGCCTTTTTGCTCTTTAATTTTGCTAAGTGATTGCTGAAAAACACAAATTTCTGGTTAACCTCTCTATGGAGGATAGTTGTACATGTCTTATTCTTACTGTGCCTATTATATGTCTAGATTTTCTTTTCAAATAGATTGTGAACCTCAATTTAAGCTGAAGTGAGGAACGGTTTGATAGTATCTGTAAAACGTTTCCCTTGAATTCCAAGGTGGATGGAAAGATTTTTCCCCATAATTATTGCAGAGTGATACATTTGGGGTTTGTTTTCTGCCTAGATTTATTTACATGAAGGTTTTCTTGGCAAAATGTTCTTTGAGGTTAAAAAAAGGTGCTGTTTTCTGAAAGCAGTAAGTTCTTCAGTATTTTGTGTTACTTAACGATTTGAATGGGAAAGTTTGGTTCTAATAAAAATTTCCTCTTCCTTTTGCAAATGTTGATGTTTTTCAAGTCTTCCTAAAGGAAAAGGGAGCCTGGGTGGGTTTTTGTTTTATATTAGTTATCTAGAGCTCCCCTCCTCTTCCCTTCCGCTTTGTGCTCTTTCCCCACCATTGTTTTATGAGCCTTTGAACCAGATCTGTCTATGCCAGAGATTGTTGCTTGCAAATAGACCAAAATCAGATTGAGTGGATGTACAAGCAATTGGTTACTCTGGTATACTGGATGCCTCTAAGAGGGGCCAGGGATCTTGGAAAGGGAGGAAACCTTTTCATTCTATAGTTTGTACTGCTCAGACTTTTTTTTAAAAAAACTAAATGCACGTAATAGTACATGCAGAGTCAAATTTTTATTTGACTTTGTGTGTGGCAAAGGAAAGAGAAGAAAGGTCTGCAGTACACAGTGTATAGGCTTTAAAGGAACTTGATTTTGAAAAGTGCCGACTGCAAATCTTACTGGTTTTTGTGTTATTTAGAAAAATATTTAAAGACCGTTATAGATCCCTGACCTCTGCACTGTTCTTATCAGTGTTTTCAAACTTTTCTGTACTTGCTGCACTTGTAGATAGGCTTTGTTTTGTGGTCCTAATTGAAAGGTGTGCCAAATGTGCACTTCCTTTAGCCACCGCATTCACAACTGCAGAATTTTCTTCTGCTTAGCTTATTTTCTTTCTTCTTTCTCCCTGCAGCCTGGAGCGTTGTTAAGCGTCGCATTGCCAAAGTGAGAGCCGCTGGAGAACTCATAATCCCAGCAGCGCCTCTTCTACTCCCCGAGTACCCGAGTGACCAGAGTGAGAGAAGCTCTGAAGGAGGGCACGCAGCTTGAAGGACGGTGGACAGATGTGACCGGGAGCCTGTGTTAAGGTAGCTGAGTCAGCTTTACCCAGGAGCTCTCAAAGCGGCGTTGCCAGAACCAGCAGTGCAGCCACATCAACAAATCACTTATTTTAAAACTCTTTGGCAGAGATCAAATCCACAGGGTAAATTCTTTGCCACAAATGATTATTATTATTTTTTTAATATGAATTCAATATGAGAAAGCTAGGACTGCCCTCATAGTTCTTAGTTCTGCCATTGCTTTCATAGTAGGCTTTGTGGGGTGGATCTGCACAGCTATTCTTTACATTTGGCCGAGTTTTTCATATAAACATTGCCAATGTTTCCCTACCTGTAAAATGCCTCTGCCATCCTTTTCACCTTACAGGGCCACCACATTAATTTTTTTCTTTTAAAATAGACCTTGTTTCTTTTAGAACAGTTTTAGGTTCACAGCAAAATTGAACAGAAAGTAGAGAGAGTTCTCATCTATCTCCCCAACACCTCCCCTACTGTCAATATCCCACACCAGAGTAGTACATTTACTACAATCAATGAACCTACATTGACACATCATTATCACCCAAAGGCAATAGTTTACATTAGGCTCAGTCTTGGTGTTGTACATTCTGTGGGTTTGGACAAATGAATAATGACATGCATCTGCCATTATAGTATTCTACAGAGTAGTTTCAGCACCCTAAATATCTCTGTGCTCTACCTATTCATTTCCTGTTTCCACTAGCCCTTGGCAATCACACTGGGCTTTTTACTGTGTCCATACATTTACCTTTTCCAGAACTACATTTTAATAATGTATTTCCTGTGGAGTGTTTTAAAAGCATAAAGAAGACTTGAGCCAGGCATGGTGGCTCATGCCTGTAATCCCAGTGCTTTGGAAGGCCAAAGACGAAGGATTGCTTGAGCCCAGGAGTTTGAGACCAACCTGGAAAACATAGTGAAACCCCATCTCTTAAAAAAAAAAATTAGCCAGGCGTATTGGCGGGTGCCTTTATCTTCAGCTACTTCAGAGGCTGAGGCACATGGATTACTTGAACCTGGGAAGTTGAGGCTTCAGTGAGCTGTGATCGCACCACTGCAGCCCAGACTGGGCAACAGAACAAGACCTTGTCTCAAAAAAAAAAAAAGAAGTCTTGTTGTCCAGGGTGAAATACTATTAAGGGTGTGATAAGTTATGGGAGTAATAGGAATACCTACTTGGAATAGAGTCAGTAAGAAGTTTCTGTGAGGGAGGTCTGAAGTGCGAAATGTTGATGTGTGTGTCTTTCTGAATTTAGTGTTTAGGTTGCTTAGATATGGTTTGAACCGTGTATATGGAGACAGAAGCAAGGAACTCAGGATTAAATTCTGCCAGGATTGATCTATGCAGCCTTCTTAGATTTAATACTTTTGAGGAAAGTCTCTGATATAGCTGTTAGCTGCATTCTTTTCAAACGAGAGTCTAATGTATTATTATAAAACAGTCTTATTGTTGTTACTATTTTGAGGCAGGGTCTCACTCTGTTGCATAGGCTGGAGAGCTGTGATGCAATCATGGCACACTGCAGCCTCAAACTCATGGACTCAAGGGATCCTCCTGCCTCAGCCTCCCAAGTACCTAGGACTATAGATGCACACCACCACACCTGATGGTGGTGTTTATTTTTTTTTAGAGCCAGGGTCTCACTATGTTGCCCAGGCTGGTGTTGAACTCCTGGCCTCAAGTGATCCTCCTGCCTTAGCCCCCCATTGCCTTATATTTTATGTGAAAGTTAATTTTGATTATTTTATGTTAGATAATACAAAACAGTATAAAGCATAGCCATATCTAAAGATAAAAGTTCTTCCTTTTCCTCTTTCACCTTTGGCTAAAATCTTGGAATACAAACTTTCCTGTTTACAAACGTTTTCATATGCAGATGTTTTTATATACAAACAAAATATGCATATTAATCATGTTAAAAATTGGTGGAACATGACCACACATCCTATTTCACAACTTGCTTTTTAGCTTGACTTGGTATATTACAGATATTTTTCCTTTTAAGCGGAATTTAATGTCAGGGTGAGTAATCCCTGCCTAGTTTCCCTTCTATGGCTGTAACGTAATAATCACCAGTCCTCAAGTGAGAGGTTAGTCCATAATTTAAAGGGGGTAGGCGGGAGACCTTTCACATTAGGGACAAAACTAAGGCCATGACTATTGACATTGGACTTTTGGTCACTAAGGATGTTTTTATTTTCTAAGGCAGACGATGCACTGCTTGGGGCTGTTGCCAAGGCATCAGTTGTGTCAAATTTTTGTTTTTTGGAGGCTGTGTTAATATATTAGCATAGTTGTTAGTTCTGGCTACCATCCTGTGAGCATTTTGAGATACTTTTATGCCCATTTAAGGTGGTATGAGGTTGAATTTGTTTTAAGAGGAAGTAATGAATAACAGAGATGGAATTAAGAGACAGACTTTATTTTGTGTATATATTTATTTGAGGGAGAAGGAGATGATGGCTGTAGTTAATTGCTACCCCTGTGATTCTTAATTATGAAACAGGGTTAAAAGTGTTCAGCTCGGTAGTTTCCTAACGTGGTTAACGGTAAGAGTCACTAGAGAAGTTTTCAGGTATCTGGCGTTGGCAATGAATATTTGTATTTTTGTTATTTTTTTAAAGCATTTGTTTTTAGAAAGGTAGTATTATTAGTGCATAGAAGATTTAAAAGGCACAAAAGAGCGTAGAGTGAAAATTGAGTCTCCCTCCTCTGTCTCCCAAGTACCCAGTGACCCTTCTAGAAACAACTACTGTTACCGTTTTCTTGTGTATTCTTCCAGATATTTCAGAGTATATAATATACATGCATATAACCTATATTACAATTTTTCTTTTTTTTTTTACACTCGTGGTAGCAGTATCCACAGTTTTGTAACTTTTTTCATTGAAATAATGTTTCTTGGAAGTTCTTCCATCGTAACACTGCATTCATTTTTAGTAGATACTTGGTATTCCATTGTAGAGATGTGCTATCATGTATTTAACGATATTGATGGGCATGTAGATCATTTCCAGTTTTTATTATCATGAACAAAGCTATGGGGAATAACCTTGTGTATATATCATTTCAAACATGTGTGAGTGTATCTCTAGGATCCATTTCTAGTAGAATTGCTAGGTCTAAGGTTACATACATTTTAATTTTGGTAGAAATTTTATTGCCAAATTGATCTGTTTATAGACCTTAACAAATTTTAGATTTAACAGCAATGAGTGAGAACACTGATTTCTCCTGCCCTTGCCTGTCAAATATGACTGCCAAACTGATTATTTTATTTCTTAGCCAAAGTAATAGGTAAAAAATGGCAGTTTAATGTGCTTTCATTTGCATTTTTCATAGTTGGTTTGAGATTGAGCATTTTTTCGTAAGTTTAAAAGCCACTTTTATTTCTAGTTATCTTCTTTCTATGTTTGTGTTCTTTGTCTATTTTGCTATTGGGTTATGATTTTTATTATCAAAATATCACATCAAAATTATCGGTTCCCCCTTTTTTATCCTGTGATATGTGCTATTTATATTTTCCTCAGTTGGCCATTTGTGTAGAAATAATTATTATTTTGTCGTGCAGGTTATTAAAAATGTTGTATAGTTAAGATTGCCAATTTATTCACTCAAAGATTGTTTATTAAATGCCTCTTGTGTATGAGAACTTGTTCTAGGGACCAGGCTGTAAAATAGTTTAAACAAAACAAAACAGACCCCAGTTCTTGCTCCACAGCAGAACTTATATTCTTACATTGGAGGAAATGGTCAATATCATAGTATCATAGTTAAAAGACCTTTTTCCGTTTTTAGATTTAAAAACTTACTATCTTCTGGTTCATTCTAGTGTCATGTGGGCTTTTTTTTTAGATTTAAGCCTTTGATCCATCTGAAATTTTAGGTATGAGTTCAACTTAATTCTTCTCTAGATGCTCTGTTAATTAGGTTGAATTGCTGTAACCGAAGGACTGAAATATGCTATGGTTCAAAGAACACAAAAGTTTCTTGCAGGCCAAGAAACAGTATATTATATAGTATTACACTACAGTAATTGCCTCCTTGCCTTTCTTTATGAGTCCATCAACAAAGTGTTCAGACCTACAGATTGGTCTTGCATTATCTTTGTCTTGTAAGTCTCTTAAAACTGGGGTTTCCGCCTCCAGCCCATTCTTTCCCTTATAGTTTCTCTGTTGAAGAACCTGTTTTTTTTTCTTTGCTTAACAGTCCCAGTGTAAGCAAAACAGATCAGCGAAACAGCCCATATCCACTGATCAGTCAGAGGCTTGTGTTCCTTCTGTCTTGTGGCTCTAGTAATTGTTGCTGTGATTATCTGCATGGCCATATCTGAGTTGCTGCCACAGCTGGGTTCCCACCATGGGAAGGGCAAAGGAGAAAGTCCAGGGCTAGTGATCAGAAACTACAGACATCACTACAGATGAGAACTATAGTGATGAGAACTTCATTATAGGGGTATGTCTAGCTGCATTGGAGACTGAAAAGTGAAGTCTGTGTGGGCCGCCTTGCACCCAAGAAGAAGAAAAGAAGGAATTTTAGTGGAAAAGGAGCAGTCTCTGCCATATTGGCTAGTCCTTCCAATTTTACTGAACAGTCCCAACTTTTCTCCTTTGGTTTCTTTTATACTGTTATTTCCTATATAGATTTTGGTCTATTTCTGGGTTAACCATTTAGTTTCATTAATCTGTCTGCCTACTGATACAGCAGAATTTCATTGTTAGAACTTTTGAGGCTTAGTTTTTTTTTTCTTTTTCATAGGGGTAAGTCTCCCCATTTTAAGTCCTATTTCACAGAATTTTAATACGTGTGTGTGTGTGTGTGTGTGTGTGTTTAAAATATGAACTTTAAAAGAACCATATCTAGTTACCACCCTCTCCCCTCCATGAAGAAAACATATTATTATTGGGATTTTGTTAAATGTAAATACTTCATTAGTGAAGGGTCACATCTTTATAATGTTAATTTTTCTTATTTGACAATAGCGTTGCACAGTTCCTTTGAAAAA